ATAAAAATAAGCATTTGACGAAACTTCATCAAGTAATCCAAATCGCCGTATCACGCACTACTAAGTACCGACAATTAATCCCTAAACCAAAAATCCTAACTAACAGTAACCTAAACCCTAACTATCTAACCAAAACTACCTAACCTAAACTCAAAATCAATCCCTAAACTCTAACTACCTAATCAAACCTTAACTATCCTATATCACTAATAAATTCTAAATCACTATCCTAACAAATTCTAAATTACTATCCTAAATCACTAACAAATTCACTAACCTAACTATCCTAAATCACTAACCCTAACTAAAATAACAATCATAATAACATGAAATCGAGAAAGCCTACCTTGATATGAGCGGGCGGCCGGCCAGCGGCCGTGACGCACCGGCGTTCGTGGCGTAGCCGGAGTGGGAGTCGGGCGGGCGTAGCGCGCGCGGGCGGCGGGCGGGCGGCAGTGGGGCTCGAGCGGCTCTTGGCGGGCGGCCGCGGTGGTCGGTGGTCGGCGTGCACGGCGGCGGCGCGCTTTAAAGCGGGCGGCGGCGACGCTTTCGGCGGCGGCGAGAGGTAGGGCGGGCGGCTCGCGGGCAAGGGCGGCTCACGGGCAATATTTATCTAATTCTGCCGCGCGCATGCGTCGTGGCGCGGCAGACCATGCCACGTCACTGGTCTTCGCCACGTCACCCTCCTGCCGCGCCACCATGCATGGCGCGGCACATGTATTTCGCCGCGTCATGACAATAGGCGCGGCCAAAAGTGTTGGTTTAAAAAAAAACAATGTTAGATTTAAAATTAGTTTAAAAAATGTTAAAATTAAAAAAAAAATCCCGGAAGACGGACCAAGGACCACAGGCCGGCTACGTGGATAACAAGTCTTGCTAGATTCCTAGCCACGGCCACCCAGCCAACCTGCTTTCTTCGTCCACGCCGTGAACAAGGCCGTAGCATGCCCGGTTGGGGCTAGTCCTGCGCGTTGCCTTCGCCAGCCACGACCCACTGCCGTGCCGCGCTCCTCTTCTTTTACCCGGTCTCGTGCACGGCAGCGGCGGCCGGCCTCGGCCTCGGCCTCGCGCATTCACCCCTTCTGCTCCGGGGTGGGAGTGGGATCGGCTCGGGCTCGTGCATGCAGTCATTGAGGAATGGGGGAATGGACCCGACCATCCACCAGATTATCTTCCCGCGCATCATTATGCTCGCCAGAAAGGTTGCTGCAGATCTGTGTCTTCCTTACCAATCATTGCCGTGCATATTCATGTGTACCATATGCTCTCTCGCGTTCTCGTCACATCGAATGCGCCTGCGGCAGAAACTGGATAATGCGGAGGGCAGGATGATATCAGCTCAGAGTTTGCTGGCAACAGGGAGCTGAGCTGAGAGCAGTAGCTGAAAAATAAGAGAAGGCATCATGTTCTGCCTTTTCTTTTTCCACTCTTCATGAGAAAAAAATGTATAGTGAAAGAAAACATAATATTCATATGGATGAGACTTCTTGTGTTGATTAGGTCCTACCTGTCGGCAACGGGCCATTCGGTGCTAGTAGGGTCAGAGGATTCCTGCAAACAAAACAGTTCCAAGAAATAACAGCCAAAGTACTCCAAGTAAACAAATGGAACAATGCCTGCATGGGATTAGCTGGCAATCGTCTCTTTCGGGTTAGTATAAGTATCTAAAGGTGAAAAAACACAACCCATGTTATATGAAGATAAGATTTTCGACATCGGATTCGTTCATCGCGCAGACCCTGCTCCCTGTGCAGACTGTCCTCCTGCTTAACAGCTCCAATGAGGTTCCTTTTCTTCGCTGCAACAAAACTGTACTGCTAACCTTCAAAACTTGAGAATCATCAGAAGAGCATCCCAGCAGATAATTTGGGATTTTGAATCAGAACATAAACAGTAGTAATATAAGATCCAGAGAACACAAAAGGGTTTTTGATAGGGATAGGCTAAGCTTCTTCAAAGTAAAACAGAATGATCAGACCAAATCAACCACGCCTACCATAATTTGTACATGCTTCAAAAGTTTGTGCATACAGTTACTAGAGAGATGCATCGATAAGCACAGAACGCAAAAGCAGTCCTAATGAGATCATTACCAAGAATGAATGATGAGAGTTGAACATGGATGAGTCGATTGCAGAACAAGCTAGCCAATAATATCTCAACATTGCGAGTACACACACCGTGTGCTAATTCAGCATTTGGATCCCATGTGATAGGGTACAGGATCTCTAATTGTGCTTAGGAAAGTGTATGCCGCACCTTTCTGAAAACCATAAACAAACCACAGTCCGTGGCAAAGCCAGCTGCATTGGTAAAGGTCTATGTTAGGTGTAACCTTGGGGGTTATGATCATCCAAACCAAGACTCCAAATTGCTTATTATTCTAAACCCTAATTATGCATTATGTCGTACGCTAATGGTCTTATTATACTCCTAGAGTAGTGATTAGAGCTGTAAGCTAGAGATTAAACTGCAAAATACATATCTGGGGAACACTAAAGAACTATCCCCAAGAAGGGAAATAAACTAATACAGTTGATAAGGGCAGCAGGCTCCTTGTTTTGTCAAGGCCAATCTGTTAATGATTGGCATGGTGCTAGGGTAATTCTACTGTATATCATATAGCATTATGTGTGTGTACATGTTATGACCGGCATCCCTATGGCAGGCGCAGGCCCAATAGTGGCTAGGGGGCTGGTCTGTTAAGGGGCTTAGAGGCCTAATTTATCGCTTATTTGGTATTTTTTTAGAGATAGATATAGTTCCTTAATTATAGTATCTATAGAGAAGGATAAATACTTTTAATCGGGGATGATTGGAATTAAGCAGAAAGCAACAATTAAGTTGCTGGCTTCCCTTGGGAGCCGGCCGTCCCTGCCCTCTCTCTCCATCACGTGAACAGTACCCGCATTACTGTAGCGCTACCTGAACTCTAGGGCTGTAGCAGCAACCGCCGCTCTCGCCGCCACGGCCCCTCGCCGACGTCGAGAGTACAAACCACGTCCTCCCCTCTTCCACCCCTATAACCTACGCAGCAACGCCGGTAGGCTATCAAGTCCTATCAGTACATCTGTGTATGCGTGCGTGTGTTTGTTGCCTTCTCTGTGAAGAAAAAAAAAGTTCAGAGACATAATGTACCAGATCTGAGCCCTTAATATAGTAGTCCTTGCTTTTCTGGTGCCTATTTCAATGCATTGAACAGCTAGACTGTAAATTATCCAACTGAACAAGTGCTGTTGTCCATGATAATTCACATAGAACTACCAGTTTGCTCAGTCTTGTCTAATTAGTTTACCGATATCTTGTTTTGAATGGGACAAGGTTATTAGATTCAAATTTTATGGCTCTCTGGTTGCAGTGCTATCCCTAAAGCAGCAGCAAACATTAAACATGTGAGGATATGTGCATCCTTCCTCCTTACCTGATGATTCAACACAGAAAAGCACATATGTTCAAATTTGAAAGCATCCGTGCTTGCAAATGCCTGATAAGTATGGGTGAAAACGGTACGGATATTTCCCGACCGTATTCGAGACCGAATCCGTTTAGAGGAGTTCTGATCTGTCTATATCCGAGTCCGGATATTCAATATCCGATACCGCATCCATATTCGAATATTCAAATCGCATATTTATGATGTCGATATCCAATCGTATCATATCCGGCATGGTTGACACTATCCGTATTTGAATCCGAATCCGGAAAGAAATATGAAAACAAATGTAATATCGGTGATATCCGTCCGTATCCGATCCGTTTTCATCCCTACTGATAAGCCTGCATTTGCATCGAACATGTCCTTTTGTCTACCTGTTCAAAGGCCCCTACATCCACCAGGCAGTAATAACAACAGCACGGTGGAAGTGATTACTTTCCCCAATGTTGCTGATCTTTGTTCTTGTCACAAATAACAGTCCTTACTTTTGATCAATTTATTAATTGCTATAATTTCTTGTGCAGAGCGCTTCATGTCTCTTTCAAAATCAACAACGCAGTCATGCAAGTGAAATATAGAACTAGCAGTACTGGAGGTAATTGCCATTCAGACATATAGCATTTCTGAATTTCCCAGTTAAGATAAAGAAATTAGCAAGTCTAATGTATGTATTGGGCCTTTTCCAAAGCATGTGAAAGGTGTAGCCCATGGGACAGCTAAACCCACTTTGCTCCTACCATTTATTGTGATCTATACATCCATCCATTTGAGAAAGTTTGACCAAGCCTAACATGCAAATAAACCAAAGGCACCAAGAAATATTTTAAAGGCATTGAACCATACAGACCTATATTAAATAACATGATAATGCTATGCAACCTCTTCTACAGAGACACTGCAGTGGTAGCGAGGGGTGATAATGTACAACAACAAGATATAAGTGCATATTAATGACGTGATAATAGAAATGTACCAACCAAGTAGATGAATGTTATGTGTGAAAAAAATTCACAAAAGGTTGAATGAAAATATAGATGCACAAATTAGGTTGCCTCATTGTCAAACAGAAACTAAATGTACCATGCCCCGAAAGGAAATCTATAGGCCTAATTGGCCCTATCACCTCTCCTATCCATTTCTCTTTTAAAAAAAAATATGTGAAGTTGCCACCCACAACTGAATGACAGTACACTAGGAAATAGCATTAAGTATGTGTCAGGTAATTGATGTTTCCTAGTCCCTACCATATGAAAGAAGCTAGATTTATCTGAATTTAATGACACTTTTGCGTAGGACATACATCTCAGGTTCATGTTCAGTTTTGAATCATGCTGACTGAAAAGGACAATAATTAGGTTTCAAGTTGCTGAGACACAAGAGATGTCAATCATGTTGTTGGTTCAAGGGTGCCATAGTATTCAATAGACATGCAATAAAGTCAAGAGCTTCATGTCACATTAAGAATTGCTCTGGGCAATAATAACCATTGCCAAAAGTTGTCTCATATAATATACATTTTAGTGTATAATAAGTAAAAAGAAGGAACATCATTGCTATCAAAATATTACCAGTAATCCCCGCAAGAACAAGACCCTTTTCTGAAATGATGAAATCGATTTGCATCCCTAACAATTATGCACCTCCCATAAATCTTGCTTAGAAGTTTTATGGCATTATGACAATCTCCGCAGATCCGGAGGTTATTTACTACCCTAATAGGCGTGCCAGGAGCAGTGCTGATCAGTCCAAAGGCTATTGCAAGCTTCTCACTATGTAGGGCTAGTGAGCTCTCTTTCACATCTTCATCGTCAATATCTAGCAGCACTTGTGAAGTGTCAGGAGTATATCCTGCACTTTTAAGCTGTTGACAAATCTCACCTAGCATCTTATAAATATCCCTCTTCCTCGAGTGGCTTTTGTCTCCAGAAATGAACTCATGAATTACACCATTAAGTTCCACTGAGCTGCTCCCAGGGGTCTTCAGAACGCCACGATTCAACATAAGCTTTCTCACCTTATGCACTCCTCCCCAGTTGCCATCTAGTGCATATATGTTGGATAACAACACATACCCGGCGTGATCATTTGGGGCAGTCTCAATAAGCCTATGGCCAGCCTTCTTTCCCAACTCTAAGTTCTTATGAGTTCTGCAAGCACCCAATAGGGCCTTCAACATGGAAGCATCTGGCTCCATCGGCATTATCTGAATTATCTGCTCAGCTTTCTCAAACATCCCTGCACGGCAGAAGAGATCCACCATGCAACCATAATGTGCAATGTCGGGCTCAATACCATAAACTCTAGACATTCTCTGAAAACACCTCATACCTTCCTCAACTAAACCCCCGTGGCTACAAGCATTCAGTACGCAATTAAAAGTAATCTTATTAGGCATCAGCCCTGTTGACTCCATCCTGGTGAAGAGCCCCAGAGCTCTCTCACTGCAACCATTCGCTGTAAAACCGGCTAACATTGCATTCCAAGTATCCAAGCTCCTCTTTCCTCGGACATTGTCAAACACATAAACTGCACCCTCAATGAACCCACACTTTGAGTACATGTTTATCAATGCTGAGCTCAGTTTCTCCTCGACTTTAACACCTTTCCTGAAGACATATGCGTGTGCCCAGAGACCCTGTGCAAGTGCCCCCAAGTATGCAATTGCAGAGACAACGCTCACTAATGTCACCCTATCAGGCTGGCACTCCTGGCTCGCGAGCATCTCCCGGAACACTGCGATTGCCTCGTCGTACTCCCCATTCACGACGCACCATGAAAGGACTGTGTTCCACGAGACGCTGTCCCGGGATGGCATCCTGGCAAAGAAATCGCGGAGCAAGTCCGCGTCCCCACCCTCCTGCGCGTACCCGCGCAGCAGGCAGTTCCAGGCGACCATGTCGTTGTCGGTCCCGCCGTCGAACACCCTGCGCGCGTGGGGGAGCATCCCGCAGACGGCGTAGGCGTGGACGAGCCTGCAGCGCACGCGGCGGTGCGAGGCGACGAGCCCGCGCTTGGCGGCGTGGGCGTGGAGCTGCGCGGCCGTGGCACGGACCTTCCCGCGCGCGCAGGACGCGAAAGCGAGCTCGTACGCCACGGGGTCCGGGTCGGCGCCCGAGCGGAGCAGGTGGTCGAACAGGCGGAGAGCGAGGTGCGGGTTGAGCCGCATGCGCACGGCGTACGAGGCAGACGCCGCCGAGGCCTCGGAGGCAGCGGCGGCCTGGGCTTGCGCGTCGCATGGCTGCGATTGCGGCTGCGGTTTCTTCGCGGTGGCGGCGAGCGTGGTGGAGGTGAGGAAGAAGGGGACGGTAGGGGGCGGCATTGCTCTGGCAGCAGAGCGTGTGCGTGGAGCGGGAGAGCACGGCGCGCGCCGAGCGGCCACTGGGTCGCGCGCCCGGCCGGCAGGAGAGCGCACGGCACGGGACGAGGAGGCCGCCGTGCCCCGCCGCGACGTGGCACACGTAGGTGCCGTGCGTCGCGCTCGCGCACCGGATGAGGTGGAAGTGGGCTTGGCCGTTCAGGCCCATGTAAATTTCTTGATGCCCAAATCTTGCTTGAGCGGTCCAGAGAGAAACGGAATGGGTCGGACGGACCTGCGGAGAGGAGTGTTTGTGTTTCTCTAATTAAAACAAACTATAGTAAAAGCGAACGGCTAGCGCGTGGACGTTCGGACGGGGCTAGCGTCCGGACTCCCGTGTCGCACGCCTGCTTCACATGCGTTCCCTCGCCACTCCGTATTCCGTGCCCGCTCTGTGTTCCGTGTCTACTCCGTCTCGATCTGCACCCGCATGGTTTCCCGCGCTGCCGCTCGCGCCCCCTCCACACCCACGCGCATGTAGGCGGGCCCAGCAGCTGCAGCAGGAAGCTACTGCAAATGGGGTCCACTACAACATGTGCAACACCATATTTACTTTTGCAACATCTAGAGAAAACATTTGCAACATACGTTCGAAACAGTTGAAACACTTGCAACATACGTTTGAAACACGAGGGGAACACGAGTGTGGCCATTGCAAAACATATGCAACATCTAGATGAAAACACTTTGCAACATATGTGTGAAAACATACGCAACATCGGGATGAAACACTTGCAACATAAGTATGAAACACATGAGACACCCAGATAAAATATGTGCAACGTCCGTCTGAAAACAGCTGAAATATTTGAAACAGACCCTTGCAACATTGCGTATAGCCGCTGCAACATATGCAACATCCCGATCTACTTTTGCAACATCCACATAAAACACTTGCAACATGCATATGAAACACCTGTAACACTTGAAACATACGCTTGCAACATCCGAGGAAGGAAGGGAGCGCGAGGTGCGGCCAGAGAAGCCCGCTCCGGGTCTGGCCACTCTGGATCTCGTGATGTTGTGAGCTGAGGTTGAGCGTCGTGGCGGCGCTGGCAACGATAGAGGCCACGACCTCCTGGTGGGGAACAGCGGCGTCGGCAGCACCTCGACGTGTGGCTGAGGGACGGGGCACAACATGCAGGAGTGGGGACTGGGCACGGTGCGACGAGGCAGAGTGGGCGCGGCGCGGCGCGGCTCGATGCGGGATGGGGGTGCCGCCGCGAGGTGGCTTGGGGCGGGCGGACGGCACGGTGAGCCATGCTGAGCGAAGCGACGAGTTAGGGATTTCTGTCGGCTATCGCAGTGTAGATAGAGTAGATAGAGGAGGGCGTAGATGGGCCTGTTGAGCCGATTGTTGTGCTGGAACGAGCGCGGAGTAGAGCGTCCAATTCTTTTAAGACGTCGGACATATGTTATGTAGCATTACCGATAGTTAAAAGGTGGTTTCACGTGAGAAGTGAATAAAAAACTATTTTTAAACTCTTAACCTTTTAGTGTATTTTAGATAATCACTTTATTATAAAATATTATTTAGGATAGATTCTAAATTTAGCTTTAAAATTATTGCAGGAGCTAGCGTGATGGTATTGGCCTGCTACGAGGAAAAAATTCGGTGCAGCTTGGCTGCACCCTGCCGCTGTGCAGACCTGCTTGGATCTGGTGACACGTGTGTAAAAAAAATCCATCACACGGCCATGAGGTGGAGTTTTCAATTGCCTATTTTTAGAGTATCTTGATGAGTTTTTAGCTGTCTATTTTTTTAGTTCCCATTCTCACGAAGGACTAAACTGTAATCATTAATCTGCTAGCTCGGTCTCTTCTAGAGACGTGCTTCTCGGTAGGAGTTTAGGACGGCAAAGCAGAGACGACACCATAGTTGGTCACTAATTAAGCTAGCAGAAGCAAGGAGCTAGCTAGCTATCCACAAGCAGCACACCTGAATATTTTGGCGCTAATGGCGAAGCTTAAGCCGTGAACTGATCCCTTTAGAGTTTAGAGCGTGGGCCATTAACCACCTTTTTCTCCCCCAGTTTCTCACAGCTTTTCAACCATGCTCCATTTGTCTGCTTTCGCGTCGTGCACCTGTGTTTGACACTATACATTCTCCACGGCACTCAGGCAGATCAGGGCAACGCATGCATGCATGCCGGAACAAATCTGGCTATAAACTAGTGGGCGTAGCCCGCAAGGCCTCGCGGCGGCCAGAATGAGAGGGGAGAAAATTAGTCGAAGCCCACGCGAAAAGGCAGCCGGAATAGGAGGCGCCTCGTTGCGCGACACCTGAAAGCGTCGTGCGCCGGCGTCACGCGGCGGAGTGCAGGCTGCAAAGGCTGGTGTTTAAATCTAAGGAAAGTTTAAGATTGTTACGTCGGATGTTACACGAAAATATTCGGATACTAATAATAAAATAAATTACATAAGTCCTCAGTAATTAACGAGACTAATTTATTAAGCCTAATTAATTTATTATTAGCACATATTTACTTTAGCACCATATTATCAAATCATAGATTAATTAGACTTAAAAAAATCGTCTCGTAGAGTAGTCGCAATATATGCGATTAATTATTTTTAATCTATATTTAATACTTCATGTATATGTTAAACATACGATACGGTAGGGACTAAATTTGAGAGAAAGGAGCTAAAAAGGCCGCGTCCGGCCCCCACGACGCTGACAGTGACAGCCCCGCGTCAGCTTGACAGCGAGTGCCATATGGGAGATGGCGACGTACGCGGCGGTTGTTGTAATCACCATTACAGAGCATCGTAGTTGGCTAGTTGGGTTAGTGCCCCGTGCACCATTACAGAGAGCATCAGAGTTTGGTTGCACACGTCTTAGGACGACGTACGGCATCTGTTCTGCCTGTTTGATGAGTTTCATATTCTTAGAAACTAGTTTTTGCCTATAGTTTCTAAAATTTGGATTCGGAGCAAAAAATAAGTGTGTTTGGATCCCTCAGTTTTTAATAATCTGACTTCATTTATTGCTCATAGGGTCATAAGAAACCGGCAAAAACTGGGTATCAGCAGCTTCTTGGTTTTTAAGAATCTAGCAACAACTAACACAAAAAACTAGACAAACTAGCCTGTTTAGATTCCACCCGGTTTTTAAAAACCAAATTCTTAAAAGCTGGAGGAATCAAACAGGGCCACAGAAGGTTCACTGCCTTAAAGGCCTTCATTATCCTCGTCATCCACATTGCTGCTAGTGCGTCAACACCCCTAGTAATTAATTAAAAGTAGATGCTAAGCAGACTTTAACATGCGTGCCAAAGTTTGTTTGCATCACCCTCTAGGGTGACCCAACTTTAGCCGTTGTTAAGTTTTGGCCTAATAATCTTATTAGGCGTCAAGGCTTTGTTGACACTGGAGGCTCCTTTTCCGTGGCAGCAACCAATCTACCATCCCCTGTAACATTCGACACTGTCAGCATTTCTCTCAGCAGAAGCAACCAATATGTTGGTAATAACTTTCTGAATCATGTCTGTCGTTATCTTGGTTAATTTCTTCCTAAATATATATAGCTAGTGTGCAAGTGCAAAGGCGGATTTTCGAAAATAAACGGGGTCGATGTCATATAGTGCATTATTCAAGATACCCAAATATAATGGATTTTAGAGATAAGAAATAGTTTTGCATTAAATAATAACATAAATTTAGTAGGAATTATATCGTTACTCATCATTTACCAACCAATTATAAAATGAAGTAAGGGTATATGTGTCTTTTTGTATTCTCACTTAATTTGTTCTAAAATCGTTAGAATACGCTAGTTATGTGGCTTTAGAAGCAGTCTTAGTCCTAGGTTCTACTCCTGTGGGAGCGAAGGCTAGGATTGATGAGGTAAAAAAAATCTCATCATTTGTCTCACGCCAAAGCACAGGTCTAAGAACCGGCTTAGGTCCTCACATGAGCACCGTACGTGTCGTTGTGTATGGATGAATAGGGGTTCAGGAGTTTTCTCGACCCGCATGAGAATGTTACCTTTTATCTTAAGCAGAATGCCCAGGGTTATCTTATCCCTGGGCCAAGTTTTTTTTTACAACGATCTTAAATAAATAGAAAAAAAATGAAAGAAGATTCCATTAGCCATGTCTTTGCATTGTTTATTGCCTAATTGATTAGGTGCTGCAATTGAGAGACGTCTGTGTGCGCGCGCGCGAGAGAGAAAGAGAGATTAGGGCTTATCCACATCAGTCCAATGAGAGGGGGTTCAATGGGGGTAAATATAATACTCGGCGCAACTAAAGGCATCTAAACTCCGGAACAGTCTACCTTAAGGAGATGTGAGTAGAGTTCCTCTCTTTATGCCAAGAAAGAGATGTTTATGCGCACGCAAGTGCGCAACTTCTAGAGAAAAAGGCTAATGATGAAATACAACTTGCACATGAGTATGCGCATGGCGAAACATTCTCTTTTTTTCCTCTGCAAATGGTGGCAGATAGCTAGGGATCTATAAAACTATCTGTCGTATCTGGAATGCTAGATATCACCAGGGAAATGGAGAGTCTGAATAGGAGTAGTGTGTTTTCTCTGTGTCGAAACGCTGGACTAGTTGCGACTTTCCCAAACAGCAAGTTAATTTGTCGATTTAGAGAAAACACATGCGTACATGAGCATATTTGTTACATATTGATTTTCTCTAACACACCAAACAAAAACATACGATGGTCGGGAGAGATGATGAAGCATGCATTCAGGAGACTCCCATTCATATTACTACGTCCGTACGAGCTACGGAACACACTCTCACCGCCATCGTCGTCCGCTCCAAGTACAGTAAAAACAAGGAATCGGAGAGCCGAACCTTTGGTGCCCGTACGCCAAAGCAGGCAAATTATCATCTTTTCTGCATGGTGGAGCGCGCGACACGCTAGCTGACATGGAGAGCCTCCACATGCATCCGCATCGATCAGTGGGTCGACGTCGACCTCGCGCTCCCCTCCGCGCACGCGCGC